TGGCTCGCTTCGAGATGGGACAACAGATGGTGTGAATAGCGAGAGCCGGCCAAGAACAGTTGGGTGTTGTCCTGACGCTCTTGTTTCAATTGACAGTCGGCGGTAGACCACGTTTCCCTCGCAGATAATGATACTGATGGACACGGAGGGCTCTTCACTCAGCCGGACAAACGCGCCTAGCTGATGGAGAACGTCGACCGCAGGAGGAGGAAAACCAGCGACGAATCCATCAAGCGATGCCCATCCCAACTCAGAGTCGCCTGGCCGAGGAGGGACGACCCGTGGCACATTATTATTGGTCCCTCAAAGTTTCCGAAGGAAGGAGAGTGTTCTCAAAGTGTTTTCGGGAGATCTTTCGAGCGAAACCGTCTCTTCATCCGAATCGCGTGCTCATTCGATGATTTGTTTTCCGAGTGGCAAACTCAGCGACAAAGCTGGAAGGACCGAGGCGAGCTCCGACAGAACTCGTGTGAAAGGGAAAACGAAAATCAACCTGTTGGGCGGGCATGCCAGCGGACGGTCGGCCAGTCGGCCAGTCGTTCGGGACGAAGACCACGACGAAGTCTCTGGCGGCGCGAAGTCACTGACCTCGGTCGCTCGATTGCGAGCAAAGTCTGTGTGAAGGAAGAAGTATTCTTCCTCTCTGGCTCTGGATGCAGCCACAATGCTGAACCGCTCTTGCCGGAGACGCTGTTGTCGTGGTCTGGCTTCTCGGTCCGGACCGCTCCGAGCGCCGTTGCCCGCCACAGCCGTCAGAGGAACATGATTTATGCCGTAAGATGCTTCGCAGCGGTATCCGTTTAAGTCGGGGGTGGTGGGAACAAGCGCATCTTCGGCGGGAGCTACAAGAAAGCGCGGAATTTCTCTCCATGAATTCGACGTGTTGGTCCAGCGGAGAGCCTACACAAATTGGAGACTTAGTGGCTCCCCGAGGAATCTTGATGGGGAGAATGGAAATATTTTTTTACTCTTCATTCGGGTGTACTCCCCTGCGACTCGTCTCTCCCGTCCCCGAGCCCCGAGCTCGCACTCGCCAGAATGGGCAGAGCTCTTTTTTTCGCCGCAAATTGCAGAATTGAAATATTGCGCTTTTAGTGTTCATTGGTATGTGCTTGGGGTCGAGCTGTTCGGCTCCATGAACCTTATGCAGACCAACACTACAGCGCTTCTTCCTTCCGAACCCGAACTCTGCTCCAGCGGCAAACCGTGGCCTAACAATGGGTGTCGGGATGCCCGTTCCCGCGTCGCGTATGTATCCGCGGAGAACCGAACGAGCTCCGAGGTTCGCCCTGGCTCGTAAGGCTGGTCGTGTTTGCAAGGTATTCCGCTCTCCCTTCCGCAATCTACGGGAGGAACCTTGGCTCCGGTTTAACAGCTCTTCTCCATGAATTGGTGATAATCTGATTGGGACTCCGAAAATGAGCGCAATCAATTTCGGCTCCAGATCCGGTATCAGCAAGGACAGCGCGGCAACTCGACGAGCCGCGGAACGACGGAGAGTCAGAGTGGTCGTTGAACGGTTCCATTAGGGGAGCACGTTGTGATCTACCGAGCGCGAAATTTCAAATCGAAACGACGACACTCCCCTGACGAGCAGCGGCGGCAACTGATAAAGGGAGCAGCGGCAGCGACCTGGGTTGTTGTCGGCGGTTGCCTCGCCGTCTGTCACAAGCCAACCGAAAGATAGAGAGACAGCCGAGAAGCGAAGAGAAGGCAACAGAAAAAAATGTTCGCTGCTTTCTGCTGGAGCCGTTGGCATCGCGAGTCGAGCGCGTGCACGTCTGCAACTCTGTCACGACCCACACGATCAGTGTACGGGCTTGAAATTCGGGTCCAACTAGGCGCGCGTGAGCTCGCTCCGATTATTATTGTAAAGCATGCGCATTCCGGAGAGTGAACTTCGGACGAATCTCGATGCCGTGAATGGATGAAGGAAGGCCTGCTCGCTCCCTGTTGCTGCTGGATACTTCGAGATATTCTAAAATGTCCTAGCTTGGGAAAATTACGGTCGCCCCGAGCGAGATAGGAGGACGGTTAACAGATCGATCGATCGAGTGAGCGGGAGGTCAATGTCTCGAGTGATGTCAACGCGTATCGACAAGAGGTCGCTCTGCGAGCGATGGCGGCCCTTGTTTCCATCGCTGCTGTTCTCGAAATCCTTATTGTTTCCAAGAAGATACTCCCACCAACACAAGCACCGCAGATCGTAGGTGACAGCCGCAAGATCGTCGCTCAGAAGAGACGTCAAAACGTGGAAACAATTAGGTACCAAAATAATGGAGTCGGGTCCAGGAGCCCCTCGGCTGTGAGATCTCGCGAGAGAGTTGAAATAGAAACTCCGTATCTGTCACTTCTCGCCGTCAGTGCGCTGGAGCTAAATCGGAAGACGAACCGCGGAGTTTGACGGAATAATTCCTCCTGTTATGGGAGAGCTTATTCCCGTATGGGTTCAGGAGTTCCCTCGTTGGGGATGTCGCTATTCCGATCATTCATCGTCGTCAACGCCAATCGTGGTGCTGTCGCTGCTCTCTTCCTCTTTCGGATCAGATGTTCTTCTGCTCGCTGTTTTTCCAGCTCTGGCTTCCTCAGTCAGACTAATTGTTTTGCGAAGCTTTGTCTGCGATCTGTATCAAAGTGACACTTAAGAACAGCGACGGCAACGACGGCGGTCCGAGCTGTCAGGCTGAACTGCAGCGGACAACAACACATGGAAGAGAACGGATGTGACGGTTCTCTTCCTGGTTCTGTCAGGGATCGGGAGAAGCAGGCAGCTGGCAGAAACTTATTGAGGCAACAATTTTCCCTCCCTATCCTCGTTGACGGGGTTTCGCCCATTCGATTTTTATTCCCGTTACTTGACTTATCGATCACGGCCAGTGGTTTTCGGATAGGAGGGGAAAAACAGAACTGCACCTGCCGGGATGACCGTTCCCCTCTTTGCATTGATGGATGAGCCAAGCACCAATGATGATCATGAATCGAGCCATCATTCCAATATTTTCAATTAGTATTTGCGGAATCTCTGCCGTCTAAATATACGAAGCATCGAGGTTTCGTAAGTGATCGAATTTTTTCTCGCATATCGGAAAAGTTATTTGAATGGCTTGCTCTCCCTCGGAAAGGAACATTCGGCTCGGGATATACAGCCTCTGCAGATCCGACTGCTCGCTTGATTTGTGAGTGATGTTCCGTACTACGCCTCATTCCAACCAGGCAGAGCTCAGCCGAACGAATGGAGGGTCGTCAAGAGGGGGCGAGGCGGATGTGCGCTCCGTCGACTGGAATTCCGCTGACTGAGTTAGCGGAAGTGGTATATTGGAGGCTGCTGCTACTGTCCCGTACGGAGACAACGGCGTTGTTACGTTGTTGCTTGTTGACGTGCTCGGCAAGCCCAGCGTCAGGTACGTCGTCTTGAACAGGGGAACCCTGAATGAGATGACAAACCGTACTGAAAAAATACTATCAATCCTCCCGATCCGACAATGATGATCATGCCCGAGAAGTCACGGCTGAATGAAAACCAAACATCGCGTCTTCATGGATGGGGACCGGAGCAAGTTTTAGTTGCATCCCGCGCGGAGACTGCCTCCAGAAAGGAATCGAGACAGCGTCGAAAGGAAAGACTCTCTTCTCGGTCGGATTTTGCGTCCGATAAGAGCAAGCTTGGTATTCTGGCGCACCCGTTTCTTGAAATTCCCTGAGAAAGTTTTAAACAGCGTTGCAGCCACACGATCCACATCGCTACCGAGCGCTGGTGCTTTTGAAATGTCGCTCAAAACCGCCAGATACCGAATAAGCGAATGCGTTCGAATGTCTGTCGAGATTTTATTCAACGTTTCTTCGATCGTCGGACAGCTCTTCAAAACGCCAGCAGGAGTCGAAGGGTTGTCCCGTTTTTCTCGCTGCGGGAGGCTCCTTCGAACTGTCGAACGCCCCACCCGACCTTGTGGAACGAACAATAGCCGTGTGGATATTTCTTTTATCGAGTGGTCAGCGCCGATTCGAAGAAATACTAAGTTTGTGAGGAAGTACCTTCGGACGCATTCGTCTCACCCGTGTTCAAATATACATACGTAAATACATGGTACATGGACGACCTTCGAAGTCTCGGGTCAAGACAAAATCGGTCGCAGAGATGCTTCTCGTCTCGGTAGTTTTCCCTTTCTCCTCCGGTCTACCTGCGCGCCTCGGATTCGAATGAACACCGGGTGACAAGAGTTGGAACATTCTGTCACTTCCTGGGATGATGACGTTGACAACTTTCGATGAACCCCGCTTTTGTCTTCGTCCCATGCATTCAGCTTTTGTTTTGCTCTATTTAGAATGGCCGGACTGCCACGGGAAACGTTCACTGTGTCAAGAAAAACCGAGAATCCCGCGTAGGTACCCTGAGTTTCTCATCCGTCACGGGATATTTGCAACATAGAATACGCGGGGATTTTCTGAGCTTCCGGCTCAGCGGTCTGAGACAAAGGCTCGAAACTCTCTTTGCGTAGAGGGGAAGCGGTAGAAATCCCCGCGCGACCCCTTGAGAAACACGAAACACTGCGCCGCAGAGACGATTGAATTATCGATTCTATATCCGATGATCTTCCTAGGGCGCGAAATCTCCCGAGGAAAATGCTAATCCTGAATTGCGACGGAAAATTAACGAGCTCTATTCTCTTCTCCTTCCAGACGGGGCCATGTCCAGTGCTCAGTCGGCACCATCCACTGCTGGAGGTGGGTCGCTCTGTAGCGACAGCCTGAACTGCTAAGGACCCAGCATCGAAGCACGTGGTCGACGTGATCTGCCAAAAAAAATGGCGTCTCTCCCATGTTGGGACAGCCTGCTGAGGAGCCGATTAGCGCTCCCTAATGAGCATACGGAATCAACCAACCCGTGCCGGATGCGGAGCCGCCACCGTATCCAGCATCATGTACATAGCAAAAAGTCCGATGATAGTCCACGGACGACGGGAAGACCGTCTCGGAGATGTGACGGGAGCCGGTACTTAGGGAAGGCACTTCTAGCCGCTATTTTACTCATGTCATTCATAGACAGATCTCAAGCCTCAACGCAGCCGAGCGGTCCTGTGGACTGGCGGCCCGAGCATATCGTTCTCACCGATGCGGCCTATCCAGGCTACATCCTCCGTCTTTTGAGTTACTATGGACAGGCATTCCAAGTGCTTCAGGGTTTGCCGGTCGTCCAGAATGATTACAATCTGCAGGAAAGCAGCCTGAAGGAGTCAAATACGTTCGCTCTCAGCGACGGCGGCCACCTCATGGTTTGCGGTCCCCTCAAGTGGCTGGCGTCACGCATGGTTCCTCAAAGCTCTCAATCGTCCCTCGTCGGCTTGGACTACAATGAGCCCGACGCGAGCTTCTTCAACGGGGACGAAGAAGACGAAGACCAGAAGGGTGCTCTGACGAGCACCCCATTGGTCGTGGGCGAGAACGTCAACGGCACGTTCAATCCCACGTACCAAGCGATGGTGCATATCGTACCGCACAAGCATCGTCTCACGTTTTCCAGAGGGAATAAAATCGGTATCTTGCCAGAAAACCGTGACCCCGGCTTCATGGTCCTCGCGGAGGACATGGGAGATCTCATACTCACCACAAACAAGGGGGCGAACTTCAGTATCGTTGAAGGTAACGAAAACGGCACCTTCAAACTCGTCAAGTACACGAGGAGACGGGTGAAGATCGCTAGCCAAAGTCGGCTGGACCGAGAAGAGAAAGAGATCCGGAACCTTGTCATCAAAGCTCAAGCAGGACCTGAGGTGGCCTATGTCAACGTCACCGTCAGAGTGAAGGACGAGAACGACAACCCACCGATTCCTCTGCAAAACTCCTATGAGTTCCGTGTGCGAGCCGATGCTGAACCGCAGACCGTTATCGGTCAGGTCGAGGGCAAGGACGCTGACGGCGATCAGATCATCTACAAACTGGTAGAGAGAAATCCATTAATTGCCATGGTGCCCAAAACCGGTCAATTGGTGCTCACCCGTAAACCCCTCGAGGAATGGGAGCGTAACTCCCAGCTCAAGACGCTCGCCAAGGAGGATATCCTTGAACCTTCGGATCTGGAAAGCGATCTCAAAAACCTGGAAAATACCGTCGACAACGTGGAGGGAAAGAAACCGAGCCCCCAGAACAGCGAGAGAGCGACTGAAGATCTCTACGTCGTCACGCTCGACCTGAAGGCAATCCTCAACGATACGCGACCCTTCAACCGAATGTCTTTCGCTAGTGCTCCGGTACCCGTCAAGATTCACATCATTCCGCCCGAGGGACGGCTCTCGCCAGATCCAGGAATCGACAGCTTCATGAGATACATCGAGGACAATCGCGACGGAAAGCGTGAAGACGAGGAGTCGAAACATCGAAGTCGACGTTCGACTCCTCTCGGATCCATTCGACCCACAAAAAGTTATAAGTTCAAGGAGACGGACGGAAGCACTCCCAATAAAACCGTCTTCACTTTGGATAAAAAATACACCGGAGAATCCTTCGAGCTAGAAGCCCCCAACAGGTTAGTTCTCGATTCACTATTTATATCCTCTCTCCTGACAGCGACTTGGAAACCCGAACGATTCTGAAATCGTGGGTCGAACGAAGAGAGAAACTTCCGATCATCCTTCCGAATAATTAGAGCAACATTCGCTCCTCTGAGCTCTCTGAATGAGTCTTCTTGTTGAATTCCCATCGAGAGCGGTGTTTTGAGACGAGCCGGTCGAGCTTAATCTAAGGGTTAGCCGACAGTCGGTTTAACCACTAAAAGTGGCTCAGAGGCCGTGCCCCCCGGCGAGTCTGTTCGTTGGAATGTGCGCCTAATCAAAATTCAATGATAAATCTGAAAAGCGCTTTGGAACGAATTCCGAAGTTCATCGAGTTCAATTCTGCAGAGCTCGATCCGGTTTTGAGAGTGGCTCTGGCAGGCGGACGGTCGGTCGGATCCATTCATTTGCTGATTTCACAAATTCAAAGGAGGAACTGCTCCCCGACCTCCTCCGTCATCATCCGACGGCTGCGTCGAACTCCGTCCCTTCAGAACAGGCTACGATGACTTGTTTGTTGTGTTCAACGCGCGACCCCGGTAGAATGTCACTGTCGCGTCAACTCCATAAATATGCACACATGCATATTTCCAAGTCCTCGGAGCCTGGAAGTTCCACGCCAAGTTCCGCTTCCGAGCCCTGGAAGTTGTAAAATTCTGTTGGAAACAAAATTGCGCTCGCTGCGATGACGGCGGCTGCGGTTTGACCCGCATCTTTCTTGGGAGTTCATAGGTCACCAGAAGTTATAGTCTGGGCCCTGAGAAGCAGGTTTTCCGGGATATTAGAGGAATAACTGAAGCGTCCACTAAGGGGAGGTTTCGTCAAACTAAATGTTTGCTGCGACCGACTGAAGTGACGGATAAAAAAGCGTTGACGCCGAGCGCACTACATTCCTCTTGGGCCACAAGGGTCGCTCATTGATCCATTTACTCTACCTTTCCATTATTCGCTTATTCATATATTTTAGTGGCGTTTATTCTGCATTGCACTTCCATAGTCATTCATCCTGACGTCCGTGCGGGATTCCGCTCCTTCAGCTACCCCAACTCCTGCTCTGACTCGAATTCCTCCATTTGATTATTCGTGGTCCCTCTCGCATTCGGGCGTAGAATTCAAAGAATTCCAAGGCGAAACCGCCGAATACTTGGACGACTGTATTCAGAGGGGAAGAATTGCCGCCGATACCAGCGTTCCGGATCCGAGAGGACTTGTTCATCCGAGTTCCGAGTTCGCCCCCCTAATAATAATGAATAATCGACTCCACGTCAGATACTAACCGCTTAGGGTCGGATTAGAAGCCTGGAAACGTAGAATATTATGCTGCGATCGGTGGGCCGCTGAGCTTGGGGTTCCGATTGCGACTCGTATCTCGATTTCGATTCAACATGGTTTGCAACAAGGGTCACAGAACAAAATGACTCTGGATGAACGGAACGTGAAGATCCTAACGCTTTGTGGAGCTCTCAAGTTCGTCGATGGTCCTGATTCCTAACTTGAGTATCGCGGCATGACTTATCAACGAGTAGCGTGTATACTCGCGTCGGTTCTATCTGACGTTTCCTCAATGAATGACTGACCGGTCCGTCCGCAACCGAGCTCTGCATAAAACATGTGCTCTAACCTCGGGCGCGAACCAACACACAGAGCTGAGACGCATGAAGCGTCGAGCGAGCAGGAAAACGTCGGACTTCTTCCCCTGCATGAACACGTTAAAATTCAATTCCTCTCCCGACTGTCTCATCCCTCTGGCGAGAAACTCCAGATGACAACGCGCGTCGTTCTCCAGCGGTCGGATATCTCGGATCAACGACCATATACGTCTCGAGGACGACCATTAGGCAGTGGAGCTTGTGAGAACGGTACTCCCTTCTGAGATTATCCTTCGTCGCTCATGACTAATTGAAGTCGGTCGTTGTCGCGAGCTTGCTGCTTGACTTGACCCGCACAATGAGCGGCTGATCGAGCCACGATCTCATCTCGTTCCGACCGCTCGAACCTAACAGTATTTCGTCACAGAATTACGGACCCTTGTCGATTGGCGTGAACCGTATCGACTCCCTTCAGGTAACGGCCGAAGCGGGATGATTTTATGGAAGCGATAATGTCCTCTTTCGACGAAATGGACGCGTCAATGCTGTCGTCTTCGACGAACCAGACGTCAATGTGGTCCTTTACTGGCTCTGCATAATAGATTTCCACGAGGTAGACGCGACCCGGAGACGAACGTCCATATTCGTCCGGTCGGTGGTCGGCGTGGCCCGAGTCGCCGTCCTGGCAACGGTATGTCGTTACGTTGATGTCATCAATTTGTCGCAATTACTTATTTCTGGTAAACGGTTCGAGAATGCAATATAGAAAGCTACAAACATGTTTCACAGTCATCGCCTTCTATTTTGTCTCCGTTTTTCTTTTCCTCTGTCATCTCGCCTCGCACTCCGCATAGTTTGCCTTTTAGGAGGCGTCTCGGTTGGTCTTAGGGTGTGGCGAACGCTTCGGTTGTTTTGATCAACGATTGAGAAAGGCATTGGCGTCGGGGATACGCTCTCAAAGTCGAGCGGATTGAGAATCTTGGACGCTCTGGATATGACCCTGGGGAAGCAGTTCCCGTCCCTCGGCGTTGCAGTCCCGGTTTCGAGTACTTGCCGTCATTTCAAACTTCACTGCAGCTGATGTCATTTGGTGCACTATAGAGTCGGGGAAGCTAATCGCAGCTGATGATTCGCGACGCTGACTTTCTGCTTTGTCGAGGTCTGCCTCGCTTGCTTTGGACGACCGACTGAGCTCCCGATGGTAATTTTTGAGTTTGCGACGATGACTGACATTCGTCAGAGCGCTCGGTGAGCGCTTCCTTCGAGAAAAGTCGGATGATTGCGGTGGCTACCGCTCATTGTGTCACTGGCGACACTTCCTCGTCATCAGGGGGATGAACGAAAATGATTTAATTTCGAAGAACCACCACGAAGTTCCGGGAATCCTGAAGAAAGAAAGTGTCGGGATCCGCGCATTCGACCGGTCAGGGGCAGAAAGCAAAAAGTCGACTACGGATACTGCCGTCGATCGGACGACCACCGACCATTGTGTCACAGGTTGCGTCCAGAGCGAAGAAGTGGTCGTTCATTATCTCTTTTAGGAAGAGCTCATCTTCACGCAAAGATAACAAAAGTATCGCCATCCAAATTACGTTCGCGTTGCTATTGCCGGCGCATCTGTCGTTACCGTTCTGACATTGGTAGTGGTGGTGTGGAAGTAGCGGGCGTTTCGATTACGGCGCGGCGTCTGCTCACTATTCCTAAACATTCGATCGCCGCCGCCGGCCGGTCGCTGTCGTCGTCGTGAAACTTTGGACGAGAGACACCACGGAGGAGCGGTAAATTGGCGAAAATTGAAATCGTGGCACCTCGTGCTGGCAGCGAAATCCACCACTTGTTCCGTCCGTCCGAGCAGTGTAATGACCGCGTGTGCCGACTGTGGGTCTTCGAGCATTATCGAAGACCGACAACAGGGCCATGCGGTGTGCCGGGACTGTGGTGTGGTAGTGGAGAGTAGTTTCATCGTGTCAGAGCTCCAATTCGAAGAAACATCGGGAGGAGGTATCCGCGCCCTCGGGACCCGTGTCGGTCCGGGTGGCGTCTCGAGTGTCGGTGGAATCCAGGGCGCTTCTAGTGCAGTTGAAAGGCGCCGTCATCTGCTGCATCGTGCCCGAGAGGAAATCCGACGCATTGCATCATCTCTGAGTTTCTCCGAGGATGCCATCAGCCAGGCAACGAATTTTTATGACCAGGCTCTGAATAGGAAGCTCACCCTCGGTGTCAAATGGGCGAAAACGCTGTCAGCTTGCGTTTACATCGTGGCAAGATTGATCAACATGCCGATCATGCTACTCGATCTGTCAGATATCGTTCAGGTGAACGTATGGGAGCTAGGTCATGTCTACAATAAAATCTGTCGTGGATTGTTCCTCACGATCCCGCTGCAGGACCCCTCGCTGCTAATTGTGAGGTTCTCGCAGAAACTCGAGCTCGGAGACCAGTGCCAAAAAGTGATGAACACCGCGGTTCGGATCTGTCAACGAATGAACCGGGACTGGATGCATATCGGCCGCCGGCCAGCGGGACTCTGTGGCTCCGCTCTTTTGGCAGCTTGTCGCTATCATGGCTTCAATCGGAGCTTCTCAGAATTCGCTGAGCTCGTCTGCATATCGACATCGACGCTCAAACTCCGCCTGAAGGAGTTTGCGGACACTCCGGCGGGCAAAATGTGTCTCTCGGACTTTCTGGACGCGGACGATAAGGACATTGCGGACGAGCTCCTTCCGCCGATAAGCAAACATCACAAGAGAGTCGAGGAGCAATCCATCGACGAGGATCTCATTCAGGAGACGAGGGACTTCCAGTTGCAGCTCGAGCGAGTCATAGAACAGCGGCAGCTCGAAGTCGCCCTAAGATTCGCTAGTTCTATCAAGGATGAAGATGTTTTGAAAAAATTCGAATTGACCAAAGAAGAGATGGATATACTCTCTGAGCAGATTACGTCCGCTCCGATGGGTATACTGGACGAGAACGGCGAGCGGGAGCAGCAGCAGGACGCGATGGCGTCGTCCGCGTCCACGGACGAGGACCGGGTCGGAGACTACGTGGTCCCGGAAAGCGTGGCGAACGATAATTTCTCAGACATCGATGATGACGAGATCCAGGAATATTTGCTACGCGAGGACGAGATCGTACGCAAAACGAAGAAATGGGTCAAGGAGAACATGCAGTATCTCCGAGAATTCAGAGACAGACCCAAACGACTCGACGTGGAGAAGACTAGAACGAGGAAGCGGGAAGCCCCGCCGAAACGCAACCCTCAAAAGCTCCTCGACGATGTGCTCACGCGAAAGTCGTCCGGAAAGATCAACTACGATATACTCGCCAATCTCGAGAGCAATTTTGACATTCCGACGGCGGCGTCGGGTCCACCCTCGAAGAAGCTCAGGCCCAAAGACGAGCTGGCCAAACGCGAGATGAAGGAGGACCTCATGAAGATTCATTCAATCGTGAAGACAATGAAAGATAGCGTCCACGAAATGAAGGCCGATCCGCACGAATTCATAGAAGAGGACGTCGAGGAAATAGAGTTCGAAGAAGAAGACGATCCTCACTTGAGTGCGTCCCAGATGATGTCCGCCGAGATGGGCTTCGACTATGGGACCGTAGAGGACTTCGAGTAGCAGCCCTGTTGCAATTTTCGTTAGAGGAAACCGCGTCTAGTCTTTCGCTCGATCTCGAGGAGCTTTCTGCTGTCATCTGATGATTCGGCAGGAGCTGCGTTCCTTAACGAATGGCAGCCCAATGCCCCACAGAACTAGGGTCCGCCACATCAATCTATCTACATGGCTCGATTGTGAATCTGAATTCAGAGGTTGCGTACGTACATCGAAGTCTTTGACCTTGCTCGAAGAACGAACATATCGAGAGCAGTTCATCCAGAGGTATTCGATACCCAACCCTTGTACAGATGAGTCGTTGATTTCTTTGCTCCGAAAAAAAATCGTCCATCCTTAAATAAAGCCTTTATTTATGCGAAATAGTTCCTTTCTCCACAATTCATCATGATTCATGACGAAGTCCTGCGTCAGTCCTGTCGTCTTCAAAAGTCTCTCAATGGTTGAATCGAGGACCTCCTCAGGAATCGATCAGCATGAATATGAATTTATCGGGAACGACTTATAAAGATATCGGCTAGGCGGTCAAGTTACCGGCCGAGCGGAATGGTATTCAGCTCTTCTGGTTTCAAAAGCAGCTCTTAGTTTTCAAAGAGATTTTTCTCCCATGCGTCTCAGTCGCGCATTGGAATGTTCGCCAGAGAACGTGCTTCGTTTAATGATTGGGTCGTTCACTCAGCCGAAGACGAAGTTTTCCATTTCTTCACTTTTCGGGTCTTCATGTAGACGGGACACGAAGCTCGGATACGTTCGTTTCCCTTCGGTCACTTACTTCCAGCTTCGTCTACGAAGCCCAGTTGATTAACGCTGATTATCGGTCGGTCCGGATTGCCTCGTATTCAGTGATATTTGATCATCGTTCACTAACACCCCGGAATGCAGAATCGAGCGACAGATGTCCGTAGAATGTCTACCTCAGGCAGACATGCCTGAGTCTGGAGACCAGCCATTGAACGCTCGGTGGACCGATGTGAAATCAGTGGGCTCCTGACTAACCAGCTGGCAGCCTGATTGACTGAATGAGTGATCGGTGCTGATAACGGGTGTTCAAGAACCCAATCTTTCAGTAAGGGTTTTGAACGGAAGGATGATCTCAAAGGACTTCGCGTCGAATAGGAGGGGAGGCAAATGAAGAATTCAAGTCGACTGTTTATCGATGACTGTGTCAAAAGGGGCTGAATGCATAATTTATTTTCTCCGTTGCAGGTGGGTTACGATCCTAGCGAACGGAGAGGTCAAAGTCAAGGAGAAGTGGGACTACGAGCAGCTGGACAAGGAGAAGACCATTGACTTCTGGGTTTTGGTGAAGCAGCAGAATCGACCCGACAAGGAACGGCAGCGCATTATCATTCACATCACGGATGTCAATGATGAGAGGCCTTATTTCATCAACAGACCGCTACCGATGCAAGCCGTCGTACAGCTAAACGCCCCGCCCAGCACTCCCGTCTTCAAGCTGCAAGCTCGCGACCCCGACAGCGACCACAATATCCGATACACGATCGTGCGGGACAGAAGTGAGTCCGATTTCTTCGATACGTTTTCTTCTTCCGTTCGATTGGTTTCCCCTTCTTTTCCACGACGGTATTCTTGACGGTGCCGGCCGCAGCGCCGCCCCGCTCCGCTCTACTGTTTGCGAATGGACTCATTACGATATTTAGAAGCGAATGAGTTCCCCTTATGGATTGACGTTTCGTAGTCGAGTTGGGTCCCCGTCGCTCTCTCAGCCAAGCCGATATATTCTCGACCCGATTTCGCTCAGGGCATTTGTCCATAGCAAAAGTGCTATCCAACTACCGTCTCCCGGCCGGAAAAAGGGGAACTTTGGCTTCCCATTCTTTGTTGGCTTCGCTTAGGCCACAAGCGGGGCGAAAATTGACGACGGAAATCCATGGAGGAAGGAACTAGTAGACTTCCACCTGGAAGTCTAAGTCGATGGAGCTCATGGGAAAAGGAAAAAGTACCGACCACATGGGAAGATAGACGATAGACAACGCGCCTTGGTGAGCTCTCCTCGGTCCTTCGTTGGACTTCACGAACTACCCGCTCAGTCTATTTCTGTCCTGGACAGGATTAAATTACGGGTGAACCAAGCTGCAAATTGAGCGAATGGAGTGGCTCGTCTGGCCGGCGCCTGGGTCTGGGGAAGTAATCCACTGTTTTCACTGCCTAAATGTCCCATTTTAGGGCTCTATATCTCAGTCTCGATAATCTGGAACTCTCGTCCCACAAGGGGACGGATTCGGCTGAGTTTTCTGGCATTGGAGAAACGCAAAAGTTTAGAGTAGGCGTGGTAGATGGAAGCTCCCATCATCCATTTTCCGCCATCGAAAATCTTTCGCAAAAACGACCCCGCCGAGGAATCTTGGCATGCCCCTCGAGGCTGCGAAACCGTAGCAAGGCGAATACTGCTCTTGCCTCTCCGTTCGGCGACAATACCCTTTGTGCCTGTACTTCAATTAGGCTAGTTGTAAGTTGTAAATGACTGCAATCTGCCGGCTAAATACGTTCAGTAAGCAAACGTGGAGGGAGTGGTCCCGTCGGCTGGCAGTGATCGAACGTTATACATCTGGCTCGGCTCAAGTTCTCCGACAAAAACTGGGTTTTTTCTTCTTTCACTCCCTCAGTATTGTCGGCTCGACTCTGAGTAAGAAGGTTCCGCAGTTTTCAATACCTTTGTCGGCACAGACAATCGCCGATGGAAACGAAAAATAGCAGGCTCTTTATGGGTGAAGTTCATCAGGAGCCGAAAGGAACAAACTCCGTTAGCCGCCTATGGCTCCCTCCACCATGGGATAATTCCCGCTCGCGTTAGTCGTAGCCCTAGTCTTCCAGCCTCGGTGCGTGTCGCGGTGCCGTCGTTTGACCTTCCGCCTGTGCGTAAACGAGCCGGAAATTCTTTTTGTGGAGCACGAGCAAACGCGAGCACAAGTTCGGCGTCGGACGGAGCTCGGGGGGAATCTTCCTATTCCGAGAGCACTCTCTTGAACGGCGATATTTATGGAATGGTCTGATCGTGTGACGTATCTTGCAGGTGGCCAACGCTTCGAAGTGGATGCCCTCTCTGGCGAAATCATCACTGTGGGCAATGCTCCTTTTATGCTGGACAAGGAATACGTGCTCTATGTCAAAGCCGAAGATCTCAGCGGACCTGAGGGAGAACGACAGTATCAGAGCACGAAAGAAGAACGGCTGTCCATTGTCGGAGGAAAGCGCCCTCCACAGTTCTACGTGCCTCAATACGAGGCGACGATTCCCGAAAGCCAGAAGAAGGATTCCGAGTAAGTTTAGCCCGCAACCATGCATGCTCAGGTCGATTCAACATTCCAGCTCCCACATTCATCGACTACATCGCTTCGAATTTCTCGACTCCTCATCCCCGGTGGAGCTGCTTCCATCGGAGGGCTCCAACCGAATTCCGGCAAATATTTCTCTACCCTTCCACGAAAGCTGAGCAATTAAAGAACCAACAACGATGAGCACCCGAGCTCCAGTGGGCTTCGTAAAATCGGCGGAAATGTTCTGGTAGAAACAAAGAATGTAAAAAACTATGAGATTGCCGTTTTATCCACATCTTGATCTTCGGAGTCACGATTGAGGTGGTCGATGGAATGGGCAAGCTCCCCTACTCTGCGGCGTCTTATTCTGAACGCGCTGGTGTTCCCTTTGCCCTGCGGAGAGCCGGCCGGCCGAACGGCCATTTTGCCAACATCACCGGTATTGTGAGCGGTCGCCGACCCGAATCCAGAAAAGACGTTGTGCGTGAAACTGAAGCTTTGCTGCGCTGTCTGGAGCGGGAGAACAGACAATACTCGTTCTCGGGTCGAGTCGGTCACATTATTCCAGTCAGCGAGCGGTGGGACGACATTGATGAAACATTCAAGTCTCTTGACGTCCTGTTGATAATCCGATGTAATACATTCATCTGAACCATCGCTCTGCTTTCGGAGCAGTGGATTCATCCAACGCGGAGGTGTACCGCATGGAAGTGTATAAGGGTGACAGAGCCTTTTCCCCCTCGAAAATTGGGCGACTTCCTGGAATATCCATATACGGAAAATGTCCGTGACTTTAGCGTGACGTGACACCTCGGTGGGCTGGCTCATGTGCCGATATACTTCTGAACGCGAAGAGCCTCAACCGGTCCTCTGAGGCCTCCCTCGTTCGCGTACGCCGAACCGCTGATTGCGTAAAGCGGAGGAAAGACTCCGCAGAAACTCTCCAGAGCGCGTTTCGACCCAGGAACCGCATGCCTTGTTAATTGATCGTCAGTTGTTCATGCAAATAGATAGTCAGGTCGGACGCTCCGCATGGTCGGAACTTTCAGGACCACAATCTAAGCCTGCTGTTGTCTTCTTCCAGCATCATCGAAGTCAAAGCCAAATCGTTCGCCGATCGAGAGATTCGCTACACGCTGAGGGCTCAGGGAAAAGGAGCGGGAACATTCAACATCGGCCCAACCTCCGGAATTGTCAAGCTTGCCAAAGAGCTCGATTACGAAGATCTTCGCCAGCCGAAAAGCTATCAGCTCGTGGTCACCGCGACCGAAGACTCTGGAGGATTTTCCACTTCGGTCGACCTCGTTATTAAAGTGACAGACGTCAACGATAATGCGCCTCGGTTCGAGCTCCCCGACTACCAGGCGCACAATATCGACGAAGATGTCCCGATCGGGACGTCGATCCTCAAAGTCAAAGCCACCGATATGGACACAGGCCGAAACGCCGAGATCACTTACTCGCTGGACAAAGAAGATTTCACCATCGACTCGAAAGGAAACATCTACTCGAACAAACGGCTCGACGCGGATGTGAATAACACCTATGTTCTGACTGTTAAAGCGACCGATAGAGGTGAACCGCCTTTGACCGGAACCGCAACCGTCCGGATATACACAGAAAATAAGAACGACGAAGCTCCAAAATTCTCCCAGGACGTCTACACTCCGAACGTGGACGAAAACGCCGGTCCAGGTGAGTTTTTCGTCTCCTCATTCGGGGGATCCCCCCTTGGAAAGCCACAGCCTGACCGTAGGGTTGATCGAACGTGGTAAAACTCAATTTCGAAGGTCCTCGGTGAAGAAAGCGAGTCACCCTGGTCAGACAAGAGCCAAGGCGAGGTTCACTTTCCGAAAGTCGCGGTGCCTTGGCGAACATCTGACTTCAATGGCCGGTCTAATGGCCTCTCGTAAAATTAGCGGCGAGCAGTAAAGAACTTCGGAGAGATAATCTCCCCATGGAGCCTTTGGCGTCCGCGCCCGGGACATCATCCGGGCATCTGAATGATGGTCGAGACTGCTGGATGCAAAAATGCAAGAGAGTTGAAAGAAAAAATGAAAATATTTCACGCGTTGTTCATTTTTGGAAGGACCGTGGGAACTGGACTGTCGAAGAAAATGAGTCTTCGGGCCATCCAGAATTGAGGAATTCATTTTGCGCCATTTATCTTTCGCGAATCCAATTGAAAAAAAAATGAGATACCGGTGAGAAAGCGAGCCTTGCGAGCGGTAACAATCTTCTCTGAATCCCGAAAAATGCTTCAATTTCCATAGATGCTTCTCCTTCGATGCGAGATTTCTCCGCGAGGATCACTGGTGTTTCAGACGATGCTACCGAGACCTCGGGAGCACGGTTTCGCCGTCGATCCGAGGCATTGACGAAATTTTCATGGCCTCAAATACGAGACGAGTTTGACGACTCGTTCGAAGATTCTCTTGTTCAACTAGCGAAATCGCTCGGAGGGAATCGCTTGAACCAATCAAAATATCAGAACAGTACGACACGAGAGTCTCGCGGACAGACCTCGCCTGCGGGACAGCCCGCTAAGTGCCCTGTGTGGGTCGTCTCGGGATGACGATGCGAAATTATCGATCGATATCGTTGGGGGTTTGCTCTTCCGCCGTCATGATATTCAATCGCGATTTCGGGGGAGCTAGTTCACGAACCGAATCACCCCGTTTCCTGAGATTTCTGTGAGTTTCTCCGTCGAGACGCCGAAGTGGACTCTAACCTTCGTTTCCATCCACAGGAACCTTGGTCACAACAGTAGTCGCCTCAGACAAAGATGGTGACAACGTCCTCTTTGGATTCGTCAACTCAGGCACAACGAGTGGAATGTTCCAAATCGAGGAAAGAACCGGAGTGATCCGGCTTATAGACACCGGAAAAATTAACCTGGACAGGTGAGCAGATTTCTCCCTCCGTTTGAGTCTCCCGGCTGAGGCAGAGCTTTTTAAGGCCGGGAAAAACTCCCGATCCTCCCAGGTCCCTGCGCTCCGTCGGAATATTTGACCTATTTCAAGATATGCGCACCGGGGGAGGACAAGCGTATGCGGGGAGCTCATCGAATAAAGTCACATGCAATCCGCCGCATGCGTGACACATTGTTGCGACGTGTGTAACGTTCTTCTCCCTTATCCGCAGAGATAAGTACGAGCTGAACGTGACGGCCAGGGACGACGGCGCCTGCTGCAAGAACGGCGCCCTTACGCCCCATACCTCAACGGCCCTCGTGGTCGTGTTCATCACGGACGTTAACGACAATAAGCCCATCTTCGAGGATTGCAGTAGCTACGCACCGAAGGTTGAAGAAGGAGCTCAGAGCGGCACATCGGTCATCCGAGTCCGGGCCAAAGACAACGACAAAGGCCACAACGGACAGGTTCGCTACTCGATGGTGCAACAGCCCAACCAGAAAGGAACCAAATTCAGCGTCGACGAAGTGACCGGAGAAATCCGCACCAACAAAGTATTCGACAGAGAGGGTGACGACGGACGCTTCGTTTCGGTGACGGTGAAAGCCACCGACCGAGGTAGTCCACCCCTCGAGGGCGTGTGCTCGTTCAAAGTTGAAATCACCGACGTCAACGACAATCCCCCGCTCTTCGATCGACAGGAGTACCGGGAAAACGTAAAACAAGACACCCAGATAGGGAACCCGATCCTGCGGGTGTCTGCCAGCGACGAGGACGCCGACCTGAACGGCGTCATCGTCTACAACCTCACCGCCCCGTACGATCCCGCCGATCTACACTATTTCTCGATCAACCCAGAGAGCGGATGGATCCAGCTGCGAAAACCTCTCGACCGAGACTCGTATCATCTGCGTGCCATCGCGACGGACAAAGGCACGCCGCAGCATTCCGCCACAGTGGAAGTCGTCATCGACGTCGTCGACCGAGCAAACAATCCCCCGATCTGGGACCAGCCCGTTTACGGACCTATTTTCATCAAAGAGAACCTCGAAGTGGGTTCGAAGGTGATCTCGATCAAAGCTCGCTCTGGGATTCCTGACAATCCTGATGTGTTCTACACGCTCATGAAGGGCAGCACCGAACAGACGAACAAGAAGGACACGTTCTATCTGAACCAGCGAAACGACGGCGGGCACACTTGGGCCGAGCTGTTCGTGAACTATCCGCTCGACTACGAAAAGATCCAACAGTACAACCTGACGATTCGCGTCGAGAACAACGGCATCCAGCAACTGGCCAGTGAGGCGACAGTGTACATTGTTCTGGAAGACGTGAACGACGAAATTCCTCTATTCATTGAGCGAGAGCAGGAAACTGTACTCGAAGGAATGCCTTCGGGAACCAAGGTCACCCAAGTGCAAGCCGTGGACAAGGATGGCACTTACCCTAACAACAAGGTGTACTACGCAATCGAGTCCAAGGATCAAGGCGATAAATATTTCACCATTGATCGGGAGACTGGCGACATATACACCAAGGTTGAATTCGACCGAGAGGAGAAGCTGGCGTATGCCATCCAGGTTCGCGCAGAGGACGGTGCGGCGTCCGCTCGGCCACACATCCGAGGCAATCAACCGAACGCGGTCACCAAATACATCCGTATCGGCATCGGAGACAAAAACGACAACCCCCCTTACTTCTCACAAGCGTTGTACGAGGCGGAAGTCAACGAAGACGAAGATGTACAACACACCGTGATCACTGTCACTGCGAAAGATAAAGACGAGTGTGAGTATACCTCTCATTTTGAGCTAGGGTCGAGGTAGAGAGGAGCTGACAAGAAGATGGAACTTCATAGTCGTCGAAAGAGTACCCATTGGAATCGCCGAGATACTCCGGACCTTGATAATGGGAACATCACCAGCCACATTATGCATATATTAAGCCTCCGACCGCGACTGAGGATTTCGTGCCGATAGCGAGTCCTACCGCACCGATTCGGAGCCTCTAAAATATCCGCGGCGGTATTTTTAGCTTCCCTGCGAACATTCTTTTCTCCTCTACTCTGATTTCGGAACTGCAACTGAGCGAAAGGAATCTCCGCAGTGACACGAGGGACAAAGCTCGGCTCGGATTTCTCCCGCTGGCGCTCTCTTTCCTCTTTTTATTCCGCGTTCGCCCCATCTGTCGTTAGTTCTCCTTACTCAGGACCCTCCTGATTTTCTTCCCCCCGGTCGCTTTGAGGTTTCTGTGAAAGGAGCCAGCCGACGAGCGTCTTTGTCCGGAGCCGGGATGTTTATTCTTGCCTTTGTTCGTAATCCTTCTTGATTTCTCCTTTTTTCAACGTGGGAAATCGTCTCGAAATTAGACCATACGGTTCATGCAGAGAGGATTTCCTCGACTCCTGTCCCCATTGTATTGCTGGGGCCTCACCTTCGGGGAATTTCTGAATTGGAGCTCCTATCGGAATCTCGAATCGACGAGAATTCACCTTGCGGTTCTAAGGTAGCTTAACGTTCGGTCGAGACATCTCGTGCTGGAATAAAGAATCCCCATCCTCATTACAGCTTCCCGCATCCGATACGAGATAACCCAAGGGAACATAGGAGGCGCCTTTGCGGTCAAAAACGAAACCGGGGCAATTTTCGTGGCAGGCCCGCTGGATTATGAAACACGAAAAGAGGTCGGTATCGTGACGTGAGAACAACCGAAACAAAATTTATGACCGCACTGATGTCGGACGAGGTGACGGCCAAGGGTCCGCTTATCCGATCCCTAACAACTAACCGTATGCATGGTTGAACTAACATTTTACGCGAACGCACGCGGCTCGGATAATACAGTACCGACTGCGACTGGTAGCGTCGGACAACCTCAACGAGAACCATACGACAGTGTTGATTCGTGTCAAGGACGTTAATGACAACGCGCCCATTTTTGACCGACCTACGTATGATGCTCAGATCGTGGAGGAAAACGATCGCAATCTTCCACAGAAAATCCTTACGGTGAGTTGATTTACAGTACAACTTGACCCTTGTGGCTTCGGATACGTACCACGAGAACCACACCGTCGTCAAAATCAAAGTCAAAGACATCAATGATCTCCCCCCGAAATTCGACCGTCCTTCTTACGAAGCGACCATTCCCGAAGAAGACGATACCGACCTCCCGAAGAAGATCCTGCAGGTTTGCTTGCGTTTTATTTTGTTTTGTTTCCCGCCATTTGCCTGATGATTTTCCCCCAGTCACCACCCTTCCTCCTGCATTTCGACTCCAGTGGAAAGCTTCGTCAGATTTATTCTCATTGAGTTTCCACCGAATCCTTTCCCCTTCGTCCTGCAATTACCTACCTACCTACTCGATTGATTGGTTCCTTATTCCTCACACTCCATAATGTCAAACCGAGAACGGTTCGCGCAATCATTTCCTATGCGTCTTCTTATTCATCCTACGTTCTGCGGGAGAATCGATTCCCCGAATCGCCAGACTGAGCCTGCGACGTCCTCGAAACGGCCAAATAGTGGACGTCGATACCGGGACTAATTTTAGACATTGGCAGCAGGAATCCTAGACAGGAACAAGCCGGATGGAATGTCCCTAATCTAGGATCTCTGGACGACTGACATGACTAATTTCTTATATTGCGAATCAGGTAACTGCCACGGACGGAGATCGAGACCGCGAGTCTGATATCGTCTATTTCTTGACTGGTCAAGGGGTAGACAACACCGATTCCGAAAATAACAAGTTCGCCATCAATCAAACGACCGGAGAAATATATGTGCTCAAGCCCCTGGATAGAGATTTACCGCACGGACGATCTCAGTGGCGATTCACAGTATTTGCAGAAGACGAAGGCGGCAATGGTCTTGTAGGATTTGCTGACGTGCTCGTCAATCTGAAAGGTAAGCATCGCCGGGAGCCAGTTACCAGAGTACTCGGGACAATTCATTGGAATTCAAGATGGCCTTTGAACAACCTGGAAACTAGACGGACGAATCTTGATCGTGACACGCCCTACCTGTGGGGCGATCCTTTCGGAACCTCCGATCCGTGCAGAAAACGATGAATTCTAGCGAACATGGAAATTTCTTGCAGACATCAATGACAACCCGCCTTTCTTCGCGGGAGGTGTCTTCTCCGGCAACGTAACAGAGAACGGAACAGCCGGGATGACCGTTATGACGATGACGGCCACTGATTACGACGACCCTATGGAGGGCACGAACGCCAAACTGACCTATTCAATTGAGCAGAACCAAGTAAACGAGAATGGCGAACTCATATTCGCCATCGATGAGGAGACCGGTGTGATCTCCACAGCGGTTTGCTGTCTGGACCGGGAGACGAATCCCGAGTATACCATCAAGGTGCGTAGACGCGACGAGCTCGCCTTACCATTCCCGGAAGATAAAAAAACGGATCCATCCGAAAGCTCTGCTAGCTCGAGTGTGTGCATAGATGTCAACGCTTCGGCGGAGGATTCTCTCTGACTGACTGAGTGGTGGCGTCACTGTTTAAGTGTTGAGTTCTTTGTTTCTCTTCCACTCACTCACTCAATGCTCGAGCGGCTAATGTTGACACAGTATGCCCGAGCACGATTTTCGGCGAGGAGGCGGTTACGTTACGGAAGGAAGTTTATATGGGTCGTCCACCCAGACCATGGATCGTCGTCACCGCCGCCGCCGCCGTCTGCTGTGCGCGGTGCTGCTCGTTAGCAGCAGATTGGTTTCTCTAACTGTGGTTTTGTCGTCTCTCGTGGTGAATTTACAGGTAGTGGCGGTTGACGGTGGTGGTAATAAAGGAGCGGGGACCGCCACCATCAAAATAAAGGACATAAACGATATGCCCCCCGAATTCACCAAGAAGGAATGGTATGTCGAGGTGGATGAGACGGAGGCCGATAACATCCCAGAAGCGCCCATCTTGGTGGTTTCAGTCAACGACGGTGATCTGCTGGAGACCAACAGATTCTCTTACAAAGTCATGAACAACTCGTTTGGGGCCGATCGTTTCACGATGGTCACAAACTCTGACGGGACAGGATCGCTCAAAATTGCCAAGGTGAGCAAAGGGGAAAAAAACGTTATGATACTCTTTCTGAGGAAAACCCTGATTTTCCCCCGCTTGTGCGGAAGGAAAACCTTCAGTTCCTTGCTCCGAAACCTTATTATGGAATATTTGTCTCTACGCGCGGCCCGTGGTACAGAGCATGGTGCACTCCGCGACGATGACCGTGCACCGTCCCCGAGTGACGAACCGTTTGACGTAAGACCGCTAACCGCGGAACTGTTGACGTTTCCAGCCTCTCGACTACGAAGACCTGCAGCAGAGGTACGGTTTCAACGTGACCATTCAGGTCAGCGACAACGGCGGTGAAAGTGCTGATCCATATCATTTGGACTATGCCAAGGTTCGTGTGAGACTCCGCGACATCAACGACAACCGACCGGAATTCGAAAAGCCCAACATCGAGGTTTCGGTGCCGGAGAACTCGACGATCGGATCCAGCCTCGCGACATTCAGAGCCACCGATGCTGACCAGGGAGGCAAGTCGAAGGTCAGTTACCAAATCGACCGTAGCTCCGACAAACGACGCCAGTTCACCATCAACAACAGTGGCGTGGTCAAGATCCAACGGCCCCTGGATCGGGAGGAAACCCCCAGACACCAGGTTAAAATCTTGGCCATCGACGACGGAACCCCGGCCCGCACCGCCACGGCCACGCTGACCGTGGTGGTTTCGGACATCAACGACAACCCACCGAGGTTCCAGTACGACTACAGACCGGTAATTCCCGAGAGAGCCCCGCCCATGAAAGTCCAGGAGATCCTGGCGACCGATGACGACGACAGATCCAAGAACAACGGGCCGCCCTTCACTTTCCGAATGGATCCCAATGCACCCGAAGAAATCAAAGATTTGTTCCGAGTCGAACACGATCCTACCGGCGCTAACGGCGACGGAATGGCAGTGGTACATTCGAAGGAGCAGTTCGATCGAGAAGTTCGCAAAGAATTCCTTGTCCCCATCTTGATAAAGGACTCTGGCAGTCCCAGCCTGACAGGGACATCCACCCTCACCGTAATCATCGGCGATACCAACGATAATCGTATGCATCCCGGTGCGAAAAACATATTTGTATATAATTTCAAGGGCGAAAACCCCCCGACGAAAATCGGTCGCGTTCACGTCGAAGATTTCGACGATTGGGATCTTCCCGACAAAACGTTCTTCTGGGAAAACAACAAAGAACACGAGAACTTCGAACTGGACACGGACACGGGCATGATCACGATGAAGAACGTCACCGGGGGCGGACTCTACGAGTTGAGATTCCTCGTCTACGACCGTATGCACACCCAGGAAGCGACGGCGAACGTCACCGTCACGGTGAAAGAGATCCCCGAGGAGGCGATCCACAACTCGGGCTCGATACGAATCGCGGGATTGAGCGATGAGGATTTCATTCGAGTGTGGGACTGGCAGAAGAAGCAACAGGTCAAGTCGAAAATGGAGGATTTCCGCGACATTATATCGGAACTCGTCAAGACCAAGCCGGAAAACGTCGACATTTTCTCCGTCATCCTGAAACAGGAACGACCACCGATCACAGACGTGCGCTTCGCCGCACACGGCTCGCCCTACTACAAGGCGTCGATGCTCAACGGGCTGGTGGCTTTGAACCGCCAGCTGATCGAGCGCAAGGTCGGCATAAACATCACTCAGGTCGGCATCGACGAGTGCATGTACGAGAACGTCAACTGCGAAGGCAGCTGCAGCAACGAGCTCGTCGTGGAAAAGAACCCGGTCATGGTGAATGCGAATAGGACATCGTTCGTGGGAGTGAACGCTTTCGTGCGCTCGGTGTGCGAGTGCTTGGCGCGCGATTACTCCCCGGAAAGCCAACGCGAACGAACCTGCCGCAGCAAGCCCTACCCGTGCTTCAACGGAGGTCGTTGCTTCGACACCCATACCGGAATTCAATGCAAGTGCACTCCAGGCTTCCACGGGCCTCAATGCCAACAGACGACTCGATTCTTCAACGGCAAAGGCTTCGCGTGGTTCCCTCCTCTGCAGCAATGCGAGAGCAGCCACATGTCCCTGGAGTTCATGACAACTTCTCCTCATGGCCTGCTGCTATACAACGGACCTATTGCGATGCCCGACGCCGACGAGTTCGTCGTGCAGGATTTCGTGAGTCTCGAGCTCGTCGACGGAAAACCCCGTCTCCTGCTAGACTTCGGCTCCGGGACCGTGGAGCTCACTGTCACGCCAGAAGATCCAGTCCACGACGGCTCCTGGCAGAGAATCGACCTGTACTGGGATAGACAAACCGCGCGAATCACCCTCAATCACTGTATGCAGAGCAGATACCTCGACGCTAACGGAGGAGACCGTAGCCGCTGTGAAAATGTCACCACACTGGAAAACCCCATTCCCCCATTCAACGAGTTCTTGAATGTGAACAGTCCGCTACAACTGGGCGGTGTGCATGTAACGAAAGAACTCACGCAGGCCTACGATTGGGCATACAGACCGAACATGGTGGATGGCTTCAACGGCTGCATCAAGAACGTTATCCATAACAGTGAAATGTACGACCTCGCCAGTCCCGGCAGCAGTTTCAATTCCGTTCCCGGATGTCCACCCGCGGAAACGTCCTGCTCCGAGTCCGGGCACGCGCACAGCTGCGGACACGGGTAAGCGATGCCAAACTAAATCAAATGTCGTATGAAGTCAATCAATCGATCTATACCCTCAATGAGACTCATTTCCCCCCGAATCATAACATCGATTCCCCCCTCATCCCCCCTTATCGCGGGGAGGCTCCCATCCTCCTTCACGCGGCTCTCGTCCAATGATCGATCGATTTCTCTCCTCCACAGACACTGCGAAGGCTCGTACCGGAACGCCGACTGCGTTTGCGATCCGGGATACTCCGGACCGAACTGCGATAGGGAAACAAGCTCGAAAATGTTCCAGCAATCCTCTTACATCAAATACGCGCTGTCGTTCGACCCTCATCCGTTCCGTACGGACCTACAACTTCAGTTCAGAACTCGCCAGAAGAACGGAGAGCTACTCCGACTTAGCAGTAAACACGGCAGAGAGTACGCCATTCTTGAGATCCGTGACAAGAAACTGAGGTTCCGCTTCAACCTAGATAGGCATCGAACATCTGAAGAGAAGGAACTATGGCTACCTTACGTATCTGTCAACGACGGGCAATGGCATACGGTTAAAGTCATGCGCTTCGGTGCCATTGCTACAATCGCCTTGGATGGCGGTTGGGGCAAGCGGTTCAATGAGCTACTCGATTTCACTTCGCCTCATCAATTGCTAGCTGTTGAAAAGCAACAGGTGCTCGCAGGAGGTGACGTCCAGTACGTCGGGCCGGGGGTTACCGTCGTTGACAACGATTTCCAGGAAGGCTGTATGAACGACATCAGAATAGACGGCCGCACCCTGCCCATGGAAAGTGGGTCGGAGAGCGCTGCCGTACTGGAATTCCGTAACCTCATCGACGGCTGCCCCTCGAACAATCCGTGCCACGGCATATCTTGTCCCAGGCCCTTCGTCTGCGTAGACTTGTGGATGCTCCACGAATGTCGATGCTCACCTGGTTTTACCATAACCGAAGACGGAAAGAATTGCACTGACCTGGACGAATGCCTCGCCGAACCTTGTCTCAACGGGGGCACTTGCGTGAATCGTAGAAACGGCGAAGGTTTCTACTGTATCTGCCCCGAAGGTTTCGGCGGGGAGCTTTGCGGAGCACTCCGACAGGAAAAAATCATGAGGCTTAGCATGGCTGCACTTGCAGCTATCTTGGTTTGTCTTCTGAACATCCTCAGTGAGTATCTGGCGAGGAGGCAAATCGTGCAAATCGTCAAAGTGACAAATAGTCCGATCTCATTTCGATCCTCGAAAAATCCCTCGAGACCTTTGTGGACGATCTCTAACTTTTTCCCGCCCTTCTCCCTCCACAGTCCTAGTGTTGGTGATCGTGGCGTATACGCGATCCCGTCGGCCGGACCAGAAGTTCGGCGGCGGTCCGTGCGAAGATGACATTCGAGAGAATATCATCTCGTACGATGATGAAGGCGGAGGTGAAGATGATATGAATGCCTACGACATTACGCCACTCAGGATTCCCATCGAACCGAATGGCATGAACGGGCTCAACGGCAGCATCCTCATGCAGCCTGGTCTCATGCACAACGGCACCCTAAAGAAATTGGGCGCCAAGCCGGGTTTGCTGCCGACGCTCAAGGAAGGCCCGCTTTCGGATGTATGCGATTTCATCACGGAGCACCTCGACAAGGTTGATAACGACCCCAACGCGCCGCCATTCGATGACGTGCGCACCTATGCTTACGAAGGAAGCGGATCCACCGCTGGCTCTCTTAGCTCTCTGAACTCCGCTGGTGAGAATTGCCATTGAACCCTACATAATTCCTAGAACCTGAGTCTCCTCATATCATAAGACTCACGAATATAGGGATTCAATTCGGGAATATGGGAAAAATTGTGGCTGACTCATTTCCCTCTTCCGGTTCGATTCATGAGTGCCCTGTCCCTCAGCTGGTAACCAAGAGAACTCGGATGAGATTTTTCATGATCAGAGGTCCAGAACTCCATCATCCGGGGATTCTCGTCGAAATTGATTTTTTCAATGTAATTTTTTTTCTAGGAACCGACGACCAGGAACAGGACTTCGATTACTTGAATGGTTGGGGTCCGAGGTTCCAGAAGTTGGCTGATATCTACGCTCAGCAGAATGGGGCACCCGACGGAAAAGAGCAACAGTAATTCGAAAACAAGGAAAGATAGACCAATCAACAAAACGGGAGAACCACCGCTAACGACCGACTCGAGGAGCCAACGAAATGCTTGAACAATTCATTGGGGCCCGGAGCAGTGCTCGGACCCATTCCCTAATCAGCGATCCTCGGTCGGATCCCGGTTCTACAGTAAACAGACACAGACAGGCGAATCCTTATAGAGATATAGATATCGAACGGAACAAAATACGGAGACGCTCACTGCATTGCCGTTAGTTCACGGCGCTTGGCGGCAGCCTGAACAAACCAATTGTATCAATAACTGTATAGAAAGTGAAGCCGTAGACATTTAATTCCGAAGCAAACCTAACTTCGAGCCGCGTCCGGGAGCAGATCTCGAGGCGATTCGACTGACGGCAGGAACAGTTTGTCGTCAGCCTTCCTCCGTATCCGCCGCAGATGAACATCTCGGGCATTGCCGAGGCCCCGGGCCGGGAAGTTGAAGAGAGAAGAAATAAGTTAGACATGAGGAGCCGAGAAAGCCTAACTCCGGAAGCGTTAGATTGAACACAAATGAAGATCACAGAATGCAGTGTACATTCGACGGACCTCTCGAGTGGGGATCGTCTTGTAAATTTCTCCACATCCCTCCCGTCGTGGAGGCTGATGGTAGACTGCCATTTTCTTCTGTAAGTAGAAAACGTCTATTTATTTTACGTCGTTCATCTTTCCCCCTTTCTGTGCCAGCTGCATTTGTCCACTTGTGTTATTTTTGAGTTGACATCTATTCTAACCTCATTTCCGTGTCAAACCGTGCGAGCTGCTACTTTGAAATCCGGTTCGTTCTGGCGGAAATCGCTCCAATGTTTGTGTCCCATTCTAAACCACGAAATTCTCAACGGAGCAGCTCCCTCGCATATATTTGTTTTGCGAGGACAGGCTCAGCTAACCGCGCGGGACGAGTATCAGTGCTCGTGGTCATGATAAGAAACGTCGCGGAGCGAACCGAATTTCACTCTTGTACATAAAATTCGTTGATGCGACAACGAACAGAAACAGAGAGCATGAGTGCGATCAAAACGATCTTGCGTTATTGTAGTTTTAGTGACAAAGCATGATTTATTTTTCTATTTTTGTAAGTTCTGAATTTCGCCTACGATCCCGAAATCTTCCAATAAAGTCCTCCTTTATGTTTCCCCTGACCGAAAGTTTTCGTTTTGTTCCTCCGATTGATCTATATTTTTTTAATCGAGTTCCCGACGGCGATATCAGCGACCAGATCTCAACGACCTTCACAACGATCATCGCGCTGTGCCGCGAGATCCTTTCAAGTTCTAGGTACACAAACTTGAGTTTATGTTCGCTGTTTGCTCAATCGTTATCCTGCGTTGGAAAAACTATTCTCAATACTATGAGCAGAGCCGTCGATCTCCGGGCTCATCCCTATCGAGGAAACCCAACTTTTGTCCACAAATCGAAGCTCGGACTCCGATGCGCGGAATTTTCGGAGGGAATCCGCCTGCGCGAAGGGAACCAGATCATTAACAATCTCACTCCGCTCGGAAGGATTATTGCCCGGAGATCGGTGCTCAGATCGTGTGAAACAAAAATACAATCACTACGAGAGAGTGATCATCAGCATAAGGATCGATGCTTACCCAATCGATGAATCTGCTTGTCGGTCTGTCTATCTATCTATCTAACTATCAATCTGACTAGTCAGAACTACGGCGAGCTGCGCCGGTTGGGAGCCGAAGAGGCTACCCGTTACGTCGGTTGCCCTATGCGTTCTGTGGGTGCAGGGAGGCCATCATTGGAGACAGAGAGTCAAACGATGATTGGAGGCAAGGTCTACGCGACTCCGAGAGAGTCGCCGTCTGTCGAGCCGCACCTCCGAACATTGGTCGTCCTCGTGTCCTCCGAACTTGAGCGCTGGCCGCCAAATCCCCGGACCAAATGGTGGATCGGCTGGCCGACTCGCTCGTTCGGAGGCCATGTCAGGTCGACGGAGCCATGAGTCCTACGTTGGACTGCGGTGGAATTCTGTATAAAAATGTAAGCTTTTGTACCAAATGGAATGATGAATGAAGACGACTAAGATTGCGAGCCTAAGCTAAGGCCGCGTGCAATGTGTGTGAGAGAGTTTCTACGGAGAGCGACAACAGTCGGAAATCAGAGATGAAAATCAAACCCGATAAGTGAACGGCGTCGAGAGACGCGCGTTCTACTTTCGAACCTAAACCATCAAAATAGGTATCCGACTTGACCGTCGGGCGTAGGTAAATCTAAAAACAAACACTTGGGATTGAGAATAGGGGTCGAATTAATAAGTAAGTCACTCAGTGAAAACACTACTGCTTAGCCGGGGGATATGGCGGTTCCTCGGCTAGTAGAAACCAAAGTTGAACCAACAAACAAAACGACCGACGACAGAAACAACAATAATATATTCAGTACTCAATACAAGAATTTAGGTAGATTAATTATTATCAAGAGGTCGCTAGGTATTACTTTGGAACAACAACCATGAGGAGGAATTCACGTGTTTTTCAATCGTCACGACGAATCTAGCGAGTCGCATGTGTATGTGAGTATGAAAAGCGGCTTCGACAAAGTTCAATCCTTAGCTCTGGCGATCTTTCTAGACACTTTGCGGCCGTCTCGGCTGTTAAACTTAACGTAATCTCGGAGTTTAGTCTAAGCAAGCAACCATACCGATTGATCCCTCACCTCAGCTCGATCTCCGAATCCCCGAATATTATCGATCCATGAACTTTTCGGATTTTCATTCGTTCACTCGATGCATCATGACGCTATCCCTTCACCTCTTCGATCTATCTCTTCGACGACACGGGAAACATCATTGAAAATTTGTGCATTGGCATCGGAGAGACTCGGAGACAGGAGACAAATTCTACGAAAGCCATCAACACACTCAAATGAATGACCTCGATCGACTTTGGTGATTTTCGGTGGACTCGCACCACCTACAAATGAAATAAATAAATATGATAAATAAAAGGAAAATAATATTCATGTGTCTTTCCCTCCTGAGAGGCGGGGGCTCGACGCGCGCGGCCTCGTGACAGTCGCTCCAGCCTCGGATACGCTTGCCACTTTTTTGTTTAGTTACTCAGCGCTCCAATAGGAACGCTTATGCTCCATTATTGAAACCCTTCTCGACGTTGTCGACAGAGGATACTAGGCTCCACGGATGATCAGAGAAATACTTCCGGAACCTCCCGAGTCGGTCCGGGAGTGGTCGGAAGACACTCAAGTCAAGAAGGGCCAATGGAATTTCCCCGCTAGGGCTACCGATTGTGTTCAGCAGTTCCGGAGTCTAGATTCACACCTAGCTCCCGTTGGGACTTGAACGCCTCCATTGGCTCACTATTAGTCTACTGGAAGGTCGTATCGAAGCTCCCAGTGGCGCGCAATCGACCGCCAAAGTGATCAAGTGGTTGGCTCGGCTTGCCTATCTGTGTGCAGAGCGTGCGTTCAGCACAGTGACTTCGACACTCCGAAACGATTCCTCAAAAGTTTCCGTGAGGATTTTGACAGAGAGTTCCAATAGCTCGTGCTGCCGGGGAATTCGGACATGATCGCATACATGAAGGCTCAGTCACTATAATGCGTCCTCGAATCTTATGTATTGGCGGTGAGAATGGTTGAAGTTAGTCTCATACTCACGGAGAAACTCGGAATATGTGAGCCGCGACCCGCAATCAGGAGCCCCGGCCAGTAAGATTGCTCATACGGGTATTAGAGATGATCATTTCTTCCATAAAACATGAGCTCCGAGATCAGTAATAATTTCCTCGCCTTAGAGGCTGCGCGCCGTCGCGGCCGAGATGAACTCCATCGGGCCTTCGATTCCTGCTGGCCCACGGCTGATTTTCCGAAATGCAGCTCACGGAAGAGGGCGATACCTAATTTCTTCGTCCACCCCTTCCCCCGCATTTTCGGAATTTGAGAGGTCCACATCCTGGAATTATCTGAAATCCGTCAGGCGGGTATGCCGGAAGGTCGAGAAGCGAAGGTTGATTTACAGAAAGACGCAAAACGACGGGAAGGTCAGCCGCGCAACTTGTCAGAAAGTGATACAAACGAGGAGAGACTTTCGTTTCTAGCTAGAGTGAGCTTCAGTCGCTATATTTACCACCGTCGACGTAGGGGACAGATGTAGGGGTAACCGAAGGAGGGACCGGTGTTGGCCCTGCCGGGCTCCTTCTTCTGTGCTTCCCCGTTCCATCCCCATACCCTATATTACGCCCCTTCCGCTCTACCCCCTGAGAATAGTCTCCCAGCTCAGTTGGGGAGCCGGCGAGCTTCCTAGCGCTCGGCCGCCGCCGCCGCCACCACCGCCTGCCTGCCCTCCCCCCCTCCTCAGTCTGCTCTCCCCTCGGTTCGCAACCCACCCTGGGTTCCTTTGCCGAAGGACCCCAAGAAGAGCGGAGCTGGGATTGCTGACTGGCTCTTTGGCTGCCTCGCTCGCTGTCGAGTCGGGCATGGGGAGTAAAGGGATGCGAACGGTATGGGGACTCGCTGGAAAGGCGGACAGACAGACGAGGCTGGGGATAAGCAAGGGCGAACAGGGGGGATTGGCAGAGGAGCAGAGTGCGATGAGTTCACGAGCGGGAAGCCTGCCGGCCTGCCAGCCTCTCTGTTCCCGGCTGGAGGGAGCCGGTGACCGAAGAAGGGAAACGAGCGGGGAAAGACAGCGGGGCTGGAGGGGAAACGAGAGGGGGATGGGAGCTGCTCTCTCTTGTGCTGCACTCACACACACAGTCGTCGCACACAGCTAGCAATGGCAGCGGCGGCAAAGGAAGAAGAAGCACCGAACTAAGGAGGGGGAAAGCTTAACTGACGGAAGAGCGACGGAAAACTGGAAGAGACTAGAACTGGAAAAACTTGGCGCGAGCCGGATCGGTTCGCTTCCGCTCTTGGAAAACGGTGGTCCGTGAGCGCTGCAGAAACGTAGCGTTTTTGGATTAGCCAGATGGATGTCAGAGACCTGTACGCAAGTAC